AATAGGCTCTTTATTCTCAGTAATAATTTAAGTGACAGTCTTTGTTTTCCATTTCATGCCAAAGACTCTAATTGTCTCATTTTTCACTGGTGATAAGGTCACCATAAGGAGCTCTAGTGGTACCATAGTTAAGTACTTGGCTGCTAACTGAAAGGTTGGTGGTTTTAACCCACCCAGTAGCTCTGTAAGAGAAAGACCTAGTGATTTCCTCTCATAAAGTTACAGCCTAGAAAATCATATAGGACGGTTCTACTCTGTTATATGGGATCGCTATGACTCTACATCAGCTCAAAGACACCTAACAACAAGATCATCAGTGTTTTCAGATATAACCAGATCAGATAGATAATACCAGATTCCTATCTTTGAGAGTCAGTTTCCCTAAAGCTATTTTAGTCTCAGTTAGTTTCTGTTTAGGTTTATTCAGGAAAACAAAAACTAAGTATTTCAAGCAGTTGTAAAACCATTGGAAAGAAAAAACAAAACAAACAAACAAAACCACTGGAAGGACAGCAAGAACAAAAGACATGAAATACCACCATTACCTTCTGCTCACAAGCCATGATATTTTCATCTTCCTCGTGTGCATGGGGAAGCTGGACAATGAATAAAAAAGACCAAATAAGAATTAATGCCTTTGAATTATGGTGTTGGCAAAAAATATTAAATATGCCATAGACTGCCAGAAGAATGAACAAATCCGTCTTGGAAGAAGTATAGCAAGAATGCTGCTTAGAAATGAGGATCGTGAGACTTTATCTCATGTACACTGGACGTGTTATCAGGAGGGAATAGTTGTGAAGGACAGCATGTTTGGAAAAGTAGAAGGTCAACAAAAAAGAGGAAGACCCTTAACAAGATGGATTGGCATAGTGGCTGCACTAATGGGCTCGAACATAGCAACAATTATGAGGATGGTGTGGGACCAGGCAGTGTTTTGTTCTGTTGTACATTGAATTGCTATGAGTCAGAACCAACTCTATGGCATGAAACAACAACAACAACAACAATATCTTTAGGTTGACCACCCAATCTCTAGTCCAACAAAGAGAAATTCCTGTTGCCTCCTAGATCAAGAGGCTGTCATTCGAACAGAACAAGGAGATACTACATGGTTTAAAATCAAGAAGAGAGTGTGTCAAGGTTGTATCCTTTTATCATGCTTATTCAATTTGTATGCTGAGCAAATAATCCGAGTAGCTGGATTGTATGAAGAAGAATGTGGCATCAGGATTTGAGGAAGACTCATTAACAACCTGCAATGGATGACACAGCTTTGTTGCTGAAAGTGAGGATGACTTACATACTGATGAAGATTAAAGACTACAGTCTGCAGTATGGAATACACCTCAATATAGAGAAAACAAAAATCCTCACAGCTGATCCAGTAAATAGCTTCATGATAGATGGAGGAAAGATTGAAGTTGTCAAGGACTTCTTATTACTTGGTTCTACAATCAATACCAATGCAAGTAGCAGTCAAAACATCAGATAACATATTGCATTGGGGAAATCTGCTGCAAAAGGCCTCTTTCAGGCACTAAAGAGCAAAGATGTCTCCTTGAAGACTGAGGTGTGCCTAACCCAAGCCATGGTATTTTCAATCAGGCGTTTGACTGCTAACCAGAAGGCTGGTGGTCCAAACCCACCAGCCACTCCTGGGAAGGAAGGGCAATCTACTTCTGTAGTGATACTGCCTTGGAAACCCAGGGAGGGGTTGCTATGAGTCAGATTTGACTTGACGGCAGTGCATTTTTTTTTTTTTTTTGCTTTCTCATGCATATGAGAGCTGGACAGTGAATAAGGAAGACCAAAGAAGAGTTGATGCTTTTAGATTGTGGGGTTGGAGAAGAATGCTAAGAGTACCATAGGCTTCTAAAAGGACTAACAAATCTGTCCTGGAGGAAGTGCAGCCAGAATGCTCCTTGGAAGCAAGAATGGCCAGACTTCGTCTCACCTACTTTGGTCATGTTGTCAGAAGGAACCATTCCCTGGAGAAGGATATCATGCTTGGCAAAGTGGAGGGTAAACGAAAAAGGGGAAAGTCTTCAACAGGATGGATTGACACAGTGGCTACAACGATCGGCTCAGGTATAACAAGGATCGTGAGGCTGGCACAGGTCCAGGCAGTGTTTCCTTCCACTGTGTGTAGGGTTGTTGTGAGTCAGAGATGACTCGACGGCACCTAACAACAACAACGGTTGGAAACCGCAGGATATTTCTGTTTGAGGGATATAGCTACCAGGCCATACCAAGGTGGGAAGCCATCAAGGAAGCACATTATGTCTGTTACTATCAGAGTAATAAGAAAATGGTTTCTGTCTTTATTCTACTTTCCATTTCTCATACAAGTACATCTTATTGGCAGGGTCAGATAACATCCAGAATCCTGGGGCCAAAGGAAGCTGGGAATGTAGTTCTGACTCCCAGTTCCTATGGCACATGGAAAGCACGTAGACAGGAATGACAGGGTATCAGTGCAGATTGCATGGAGGGCATTGCCTGATTTTTTTTTTTTTTT